AACAAAATTTTTTATACAAGAAAATTCGACCGATTCGACCGATTTTTATTCACCCCGTTAATTGGGATCGTCGAAATCAACGTAGAGCTCACGAATCAAAACGATGTTCATGAAACATTAGGTTTGTCGAAACGAGTGTTCTTTAAGCGATCCATTTAATAATCCATTTAATAATGAAGAATATCCACTGACAGAGAATATCTTTTCGAAATGGCAGAGAGATCTATTTTTAAAAATCAAAGAAGTTAAAATTCGTTGCAAACTGTATTATTAAAATAACTTTCAATTAATTTTTATCTATTCGGATTATCCTTGCTTTTCGTTTGGATTTTAAACATTTTTCTTCGTTTTTTCTTTTTTCTTTTTTCTTTTTTTTTTTTTTTTTTTTCATTGAATTCTATTTAATACATCAGAATGAAATTTACGTAATTTTTTATTCTACAAAAAAATTTATTACTATTAATTTTAAATTTCTATCAACAAAGATATATTCTCAGTCAGTCGATAAAATTGAGATAGAACGTAATGTAAGATAAATAAATTTCTTTACTACTGAGATTTCCGAACCGGTGTAGGTACAGGTAGGTACGCAGAGATATACTAAATTATCACATGAGTAGACAAGTGAGTTACTCGTTAGCAGTAAGGGGCAACGATACAGCCAAAGGCAGCAATATGCTTATTTCGATGAATCTAAACGCAACTATGATTCGTTTTTCTAATGTCACGCGTTAGTGACGGCAGTTTCCTTTCAATTTTTTCTTCTTTTTTTTTTCTTTCTTTTTTCCTTTTTTTTTTTTTTTTTCTTTCATTTCTTTAACGCTAATGAAGTGACAACTATGAACTCGTGTGAATTTCTATTTTAACAAGGTGCCTGATCTCGGTATAAAATTCTATATCGTTAAATCGTTCTACGTTATCAATAGAATAGTATCTTTTTTTTTTTTTCCTCCTTTTTAATATTTTATCTTTCTTCGTTCGAATCGGTAACTTCATAAATCACGCCGACTTGAATTTATATTTATCGATTATCTCGCCTTCGTTCTATCTTTACCCTTTTCCCATTTTTTTCTTCCTCCCCTTCTCCCCTTTTTCTCTCCCTGCCCCTTCCCCTCCCTCGCCCATTTATTCAACGACAGAGAAGCGAACTTTGTTACGTTTAAATTCAACGCACGTACGATTTATATACGAATGGCTATGTCTCTGATATATCTACTTCTTACGCGGCGTTACATTAAGATATATAAATAGTATTTTTAATGTTATAACGGTAACATCACCTACTTACTAAATATTGCGAATGCTATTAATAGTATTCATCTGATATAAATACATGGAACATAACGAATCGAATGATTAATTAGTTGAAAAATGTCGTGAGAGATAGCATCGCTGAACGAACATTTGACTTGGAAATCTTGCAAACTCGTTTTTTTTTTCTCTTTATTTCTTCTTTTCCTTTTTTTTTTTTTTTTTTTCCTCGTTCGTTNCGTTCGCGTTTCTCGCCCTCGTCCCAAAAATAGAAACGAAGGCTCGGATATGTTGATAACGTTCCAGACGATCGCGCCAAAAAGATTCTGTTCCATCCCTGGAACAACCACTAATTTCCGTTGGCCTACCAACGAAATCGTGTCCGCAGAAGAGGCAAAAAGGAACACGATTTTTAAAGACGATAAAGATAAGTTGCGAATTGCTTGCTCGTCGCTGCTAATCTCGTTCGCGTTAACGCATTAATGATAAATGTCTCTCTTACCTCTCGATGTGTACGTCTATATGTACAATATACTAGTTCTTTTCTTTGTCTTTGTATTGATCCCGCCTATCATATATAAAGTTACAATTATGATGTGTCATAGTCACGGTGTCAGAGCCACCATTTCATTCAACAGAGAAATATGTATACCGTTTTCCATTCGCGAATTACACGTTATCGCCGAGCTCTCACGCGAACGTTGAATTTATTCGATTTTACATTTTTTTTCGTTCTCTTTGAAATAGGATGTATTGACAATTTAACTTTGTAAATCTTATTCTAATTTCAGCGCGATTCGATGGTCAATACGCAAGTCAAGAAAACGATACCTGTGACGAATCTCTTTCTCGTGTACAATTTGTATGCGATGAGAGCTCTATCGTGTAGTACGAGTTACACGAGAAATTCGACAGTCTTGCTTCGATAATTCTGTCGGATTCGTTCGAAGCGAAAAGCTTAACCGATAAATTTACGATAAATTTACGCACGATGAATTGTAACCATCTACACGTTCACAAACACACGCATTCACACTTCTTCTCATATAATTTGTTTTTCCCTTTTTTTTTCTTTTTTTTGCTCCTTTTCTTTACTCGATTAGCAACTCACGAAGCGAGTTTGATATTTAGTTACCGTATTGCCATACGTCGATGCAATGCTTTTTTTCCCCGTTTTTCTTTCCTTCTTTTCTCTTCCTTTCCTTTATTTCTTATTTTTCTTCTCTTATTGTTTCGTTATAAAAGAAAGACATCATTATCTCGGAAGGTAACTTTTAAAATCTTAAACGAGTATCCCTTATTTACCTCGAAGATAATAAACGTATCTTTAAATCCATGCAGGAATGTTCACAGCTGTATTTATAATTACACGATATTGCTCCTAAATTTTCGACGATCATATCGAGGATCCACGAGATCCAGCGCGCGAAATTGGCGCGAAACTTGGCGCGAATTAGTAAATTTCCTTTTGAACAAAAAAAAGTCACCTCCGCGCTCTCTTCGATTGTCGGATTCACAGTTTTATTGTTTTCCTTACGTCTAAACAACGCCCTCGTTGAACATTTCTCCGCGATCGAGATCGTTGCGTCACGATCTCCCTCCCTCCCTCCCTCACTTACCTACTAAGCAAATCACGATATTTTCACGAATCTCGGATAGCTTCCTACCATATCGACACGGGCAGATTCACGTCCGCCATCCCTGAAAATCGTTTCATCAAGTTTATTTCACTTTCAGTTCCTAATTGAATAAATCTCACGTATCGAAATCGCTCGAAACGACATTATCTCGCGGGGGAGAGAAAAAAAAAAAAAAAAAAAAAAAAAAAA